TAAATACATAATTAAAACACATCTCAAGTACTCAAGGACTAAAAATTATTTTTCTCAAAAGTTTTAGGGGCCTGGCGGCCCCACTCCCCGGGTCCCCTTAGTACCGCCAGTGATTCTAGCATTCAAACCATACTGTAACCGTTAACAATCGCTTGGAATTTGGCTACCACCCTTCATTATTAGCGCCAACCCGACAACCCAGTCAAAGGCCCCATCGACAACCCCACATATATCGTCAGTAAAGCTTCGGAAGGTCTGTTTTCTTCTTCTTCTCCCTTATTATTTTATTTTATTATTTTATGAATAAAACTTTACTTGCGACGGTCTGTCAATTACCAACCGCAGCCCTATGCCTCATAGTCAACTAACTCGCTGCGCAAAACCCATCTTCTGCTGCTCCGTCTCGCGATAAAATAATATATTATTTTGTTGATATAACTAAAACAGAAAAAAAATTATATATCAATCTTAACTTTAAAAAATAATTAGAGTTTTTAATATTAGTTACGTAGTTTTATTTAATTAAAATTTAATTTAAATTTTAAAAAATTATTTTATTAAATATTAATATTTAAATTTTAAAACTGATTATATTAAAATATACAATGAATTTTCAAATCTAAATATCAACATTCAATAAAGTGATATTTTAGTTTTCAAATATAGATTGTAACTCCATTTTTTTTTAAGAGTCTGAATTGATACGCACTAATCTATTAAAACAGATATTTATGGTATATATATTGATGTTAATATTTATCGGTTACATTTATAAAAAATTAGATAAAAAATTTAAAATTATGAGTTTTAATAAAGTATTGAAAAAAAAATATTAAAATAACCTCACTTCAATTTTAATAATTAAGATATTTTAGTTGTTTAATAATATCTATTAAAATAAAATATTTTTAAAATATTTTTTTACTTAACTTTTTATAAATGTCACTAATATACACTTTTCTTATACATATTATTGAATATTCACCAGCCAAAGATAATATATAATAAGTTGAACAATTCGAAGGTCTTCTTTCCGAGTTTAATATAAAAAATCTTGATTTTTTTTTTTTCATCTCATGTATATCATATATCAGCTAAAAGTCGCGAGAAAACTGTCGGCTTCTCTCTCAATCTAAACCGAATCCTAACTACCTAGTATGCTTACTAATGATTAACTACTCGAGCTCAGCATGAAATCGAACATTGGCAGCGCGGGGACGGCCCCACTGCCAGTTAAGGGTATAGAAATTGATTTATCTAACTGTCCAACATCACCGTAGCTATTAAAACATCGGAAGTGTAACTCCATCAATCGAATAATTTCGCAACTTTTACCATTTCTGAATCGCTAGGACTCATCGCAATCATCTTTCGAAAGTAATAAGTTCTCGATCGATCAATCCGTTATCTAATGATGTCCCAATTCACATCATGCAAAAAAACAAAATCATATTACAATAATACGTACGTAATCTATTTTGTAAAACCAATCCACATAGAATTAATCAAGTGGGACAATGCTAATAGAATTATCCATGAGACCTCGCCGCTATAAATAGGTACCAAGGGTATCCATAAGAGTCCGCATTCATCAAGTTAATTCTCAAATTCAAAGCATTTGTTCGTAGCCAGCATCTAACAGTAGTAATGGTGGAGATCACTGTGGAGATCACTGTTACGGACACTGACATTGAAAAGGGAACATTGACGATTCCCGAAGATAGTTTGGGAACACTTCGATCTGGGCAACGGTTGAAGTTTACAGATGAGCATACCAGTCAAACATGGGATTTTGAGTACAACAAAACTGGTGGTTGTCTCCGTTGTAAAGATTGGTTAGCTTCTGCGCGGGGGAAAGAAATTAGGGCTGGTGACAGGATCGACCTTTCCAGAAATGGTAAGAACATTAAAGTCATCCCAAAAAAGTGAGAAAGTGGCTGCCCATATTTTCATATATATATAGTTTTTCAAGTAATCCCTAGCTAAGTGTCTATTTTAGAATAAGAAATGCTTTTGACAGTTTGATATCTATATTTAGAAAAATTAGTTCACGGTTGAAAAGCAACAAAAATATTGTTATTGATATTTTTGTCCTTTTTCACTCCGAATTGATGTTTTTAAATGTAGGATAAACTGAAAAATAACATTGATATTGTCCATTAGCACATAGGTATGTGAAAACTCCATTATCCTTTCTGTAACCGCTTGTACGTTTGGTTTTAATTTGTGCATAGGGATGCTGGTTTTCTGTTATGTACTGTCTAGAGTACTGATGTTTCTCTAGAATATTATCCAAATTACTACAGTTATGTGTGTAATTATCCTATCAATGTAAACTAATAATAAAAGTTTCACCTCTTTTATATATCGGGAATTATCATAGTTTCAAAATTTTATTAACTAATTAATTACTCGGTATAATATTATGTTTTAATACAAAGGTTTATATAAGAAGAATATTTGCATCACGGGTGTCATCAAAGAGATCAATAGCCAGCACGTGCGTGGAAAGCAGTGGCGGAGGGAGGGGGGGTGCGAGGGGAGGCGCTAGCCCTCTTGAAATTTGAAAATCTTTGTAAATTAGTATATAAAAAATTATTTCGCCCTCCTTGAAATTTAAAAATTTTGTAAATTAGTATATAAAAAATTATCTTGTCCCTCCTGAAAAAAATTTTTGGCTCCGCCCCTGCGTGCAAGGCTCACTAACATTAAGAATCATGTGCCGATCAAGAGTCTGTTGGTAAACCTTGGAATGTTTATGATGTTTGTTAAGTTAAGCTTGAGCGGTATAATTGATTTATTAGAATCTTGTGTTTTTTTTTGTTTTTTTTAAACAACAAAAAGTAACATTTATTAAAAAGCAGAGTATAAAGAGTACCTAAACTCATAAACACCCCAATTTAAAAGGCATAAATTTACAAGAACCGAATAATCCTTCCTGATAAATTAATACAAGAGCACCTCCAAGTTGTTAAAAATTTCAACCTGCACTCTGTTGACACAGAACAGGACACAAAAAATTTGGTTCTAGATGCTTACCGTATGGTGTCGGCTCCAAAATTATGTGTCGGGTATCTATCCTCTTTTGCAATTTCTTCAATGGTGAAACAGCACGTCTGGTCCTCCAGATTTCGTACAATGAGCATTCAGATCCCAAAACTCGAGATTCATTCATTTAGGTCCCCAAGATAACACCTTCCTTGTTGCAATTTAGTCCCTCAACTTGCAATTTAGCGCCAGCAGTATGTCCCTCAAGCTTTAAAAAACTGAATTCTGCATTTCAGCTCCTCGTCCCAGTTTCTAGAAAGAATCATTCCCCTTGCTGTTAGCTTTTCACTTCCTCTTAGTCCCACCTGGCATTTCTTGTTTGTGGTGGTAAGCTTTCAAGGGCAGAGTACCCTTATACTCTTAGTCTTTTTATTATTATTATTATTATTACTATTATTATTATTATTATTATAAGTCAAGGTATAAATCTTTAAATCAAATTATACACATGTTGAAATTAATTTCTTTTTGATTCAATTAAAAGTAGGCAATTCATGTTTAGGATTAGGGAATTCATAGAAATTAGCTTTTTCTTAAAAGAATCAAATTTTAATTAATAAGGTAGGAAACAAACTCTCTTACTAATAAAACCATAACTCATTGGGTAATGTTATTTTCATATTAATTCATCTCAAGAAAATATGCCAATAAAAAATTTAAAAAAAGGTCTATTATATATACCTTTGGGGATTGGTGTCAGTTTCCAATGATGTGTTCTAAGGAGACTTAACCTTTTCTCTTTATCCTTCTTTTCAAATCATTTCTACGGCAGAGTACCCTTGTACTCAATTTTATAATAAAATTTTAATTCATCTAAAAGAAAAAATATATTATATATAAGGTGCACTGTTTTATCATTTAAATTATAAAATATTTTTTTAATATATACAAAATTATATTTTACAATTTAAACTATATTAAAATATAAAATAGAGATCATTAAATAAAAAAAGAATACTTAATATCAAAAGACATAATTTTTATTTAATAATTAATATAATATAATATAATATAATTTAAATTATACTATATTTTACAATTCACTCTGACATGGACAGTGATGCTTGAGGTAGAATTTACTATTGAGGAAATCAGAGAAGCAGTCTCTTCTTGTGCTAGCGATAAAGCTCCAGGGCCTGATGGGTTCAATTTTCACTTCATTAAGTCAATTTGGGAAACAATTGAAGGCGATATTATTAATTTTCTCAACGAATTTCATCAAAATGGAAGGCTGGTTCGTGGCCTTAATGCATCTTACATCACTCTTATGCCTAAAAAGAAAAACCCCACAACCTTGCAAGAGTATAGGCCAATTACCATGGTCGGTTGTCTTTATAAAATTCTGGCCAAAGTCTTAGCAAACAGGCTGAAAAAGGTCATTGGCAAAATTATCAATTCAAGTCAATTTGCTTTTTTAGAAGGGAGACAACTTGTGGACAATGTCTTGACCCTTAATGAATTGGTACATTATTTGAAAATGAAGAAGAAGAAGGGACTCTTGTTCAAAGCTAATTTTGAAAAAGCTTTTGACTCGGTGAATTGGAACTACTTGGATTCTATGCACTTCAATATGGGCTTTGGAGATAAGTGGCGAAGCTGGATGAAAGAATGCTTATCTTCTGCTTCCATCTCTATTCTTGCCAATGGTAGCCCTACACCAGAGTTCAAAATGCAGAGAGGATTGAGGCAAGGTGATCCTCTCTCACCTTATCTTTTCTTAATTGCCGTTAAAGGCTCGCATGCTCTACTCTATGAAGTTGAAAGGAAAAATCTTCTTGAAGGTGTGGCTATTAATGAGAATTTATCTATTTCTCACCTTCAATTCATATATATGACTAAGCAGAATCAAATCCAAACTACCAGTATATACTAATAGTTAACAACTGGAGTTTATGAAATTAAACATTGTCCGTGCGAGGCAGCGTGGATGCCAGCAGTTAGGAGAGGTTGATCAATCTATCTCTAATTACATCATCATTATATATATATATATATATATATCGACTAGCTTATACTCCTATTAATTTTAAAATATTGAAATTTGAGAGTGAACTCCATCAATATATACGTCCCATTTTCGCAACGTCGGTTCGCAAGAACTCACCGCAAACATGTTTTGAAAATGACTATCTCGATCGATCCATCCGTTATTTAGTAAAGCCAATCCACAATGCATGCAAAAAAAAAAAAAAATCTTAATTATTAGAATAATATTTAATCCACTAATTTTTTCTCTAATTAATCAAATGAGACAATCCATGAGATCTCGCCGCTATAAATACACAGGGTATCCAAAAGAGCCGCATTCAAGTTCTCAAATTCAAAGCATTTGTTCATAGCCAACACCCAACAGTAGCAATGGTGATGATCTTTGAGAAGAAGCTTGAAGAAAATGACATTAAACATAGAATGAGGCTTCCCAGTGATTCCAACTGGGAACAACTTCCATCTGCGAGAGAAACGTTGGTGGTTAGAGATGAGGACAATAATACACGGAATTTTTCCTACAGCAAATCGTCCGGTAGGTCATATCTCAGTGGTAATGGTTGGAATGGCTTTGTGGCAAGCAAAGGCCTTATAGTTGGTAACGAGATCAGCCTTTACAAAACAGATGACTTCTACACAATTAAAATAAAAAATTGACAAAGTGATTTCCATATTTTCATATATCCTTTCGAGTGTTCCTCAGTTAAGTGTCTTTTTCAGAATAAGAAATGTTTTTTTATAGTTTGATCTACATTTAAAAAGATTAGTTCAAGGTTGAAAAATACCAAGATATCATTAATGGTGTTTTGGTCATTTTTCACTCTGAATTAATACTTTTAAGTGTAGAACAAACTGAAAAATAACCTTGATACTGTTTATATCAGCTTTTAGGTTATGATAACTTGGTTATCCGCTTTGTAATTACATGGGTTTGGTTTTAATTTGTGCATAGGGATGCTGTTTTTGTGTTGTTTACTACTGTCTAGCTAGGGTACTGTATTTCTCTAGAATATTATTCGAATTACTGCAGTCTTGTGTGTGATTATGCTATCAATGTAAAATATTAATAAAAGTCTCACATCTTTTATATATTGAGAACATAGTTTCAAAATTTTTATTAACTAATTAATTACTCCGTATATTTTAATACAAAGTTTAAGAAGAATATTTACACCACCAGAGGACGTCATCGAAAGAAAGCAGCGCACATGGAATTTTAAGTT